AAATGTCCACACAAAAGTTTGTACAAGAATGTTCACAAAATGTTCACAGATGCATTATTTGCATCAGCCAAAATTAGAATCTAAATGTCCATCAATTGACAAACAAAATGTGGGGCATCCATACAATGGAGTATTACATGATAAAAAAAAAAAAATGAGGTTGGGCACAATGGCTCATGCTTGTAATCCCAGCACTTTGGGAGGCCAAGTCAGGAAGATCGCTTGAGCCCAGGAGTTTGAGGCCAGCCTGGGCAACATAGTGAGACTCTGTTTCTACAAGATAAAAATTAGCTAGGCATGGTGGCATGCACATGTGGTTCCAGCTACTTGAGATGCTAAGATGGGAGGATTCCTTGAGCCTGGGAGGGTGAGGATGCAGTGAGCTGTGACTGCGCCACTGCACTCCAGCCTGGACAACACAGTGAGAGCCTGTCTCAAAAAAAACAGGAATGAAGTACTGATACATGTTACAATATGGATGACATGTTAAAACTGACCACTTTAGCCAACCAGGCGTGGTGGCTGATGCCTGATTTAATCCCAGCACTTTGGGAGGCCGAGGCAGGCAGATCACTTGAGGTTGGGAGTTCAAGATCAGCCTGACCAACATGGAGAAACCCCATCTCTACTAAAAATACAAAATTAGCCAGGAGTGGTGGCGCATGCCTATAATCCCAGGTACTTGCAAGGCTAAGGCAAGAGAATCGCCTGAATCCAGGAGGCAGAGGTTGCAGTGAGCCGAGATTGCGCTATTGCACTCTAGCCTAGGCAACAAAAGCAAAACATCATCTCAAACAAACAAAAAATACTGACCACTTTAAATGGATAAATTGCATAGTATGTGAATTATATTTCAATAAAGGTGTTTAAATAAAAGGTTATTTCTGAAATGTGGCCAGTGGATCCAGCAATTAGGATGTAGCTGGTACTTCAGCAGAAGACAAGTGCAGGGTTGTGAGGCGTAAACAGTAAGTGAAAAAGTGGAGAAGGGTATATGGAGCATGGTGGTTAAGAGTACAGGCTCTGACATTAGATATAACTGGATTAACATCTCTACTCTGTCATTTTTTTTTTTTTTTTGGAGACAGAGTCTTACTCTCTCACACAGGCTGGAGTGCCGTGGTGTGATCTTGGTTCACTGCAACCTCCACCTCCCAGGTTCAAGTGATTCTCATGCCTAAGTCTAGTGGTGGCTCTTGCCTGTAATCCCAGCACTTCGGAAGGCTAAGGTCAGTGAATCACTTGAGGCCAGGAGTTCAAGACCAGCCTGGTCAACATAGTGAAACCCTGTCTCTACTAAAAATAGAAATATTAGCCGGGCATGGTGGGGCACAGCTGTAGTTCCAGCTACTCAGGAGGCTGAGGCAGGAGAATCGCTTGAACCCCAGAGGGGGAGGAAGTTGCAGTGAGCCAAGATCGTACCACCACACTCCTCCAGCCTGGGTGACAGAGACTATCAAAAGAGAAAATCAGCTGGACGTGGTGGCTCACGCCTGTAATCCCAGTACTTTGGGATGCCGAGGAGGGCAGATCACCTGAAGTCAGGAGTTCGAGACCAGCTTGGCCAACATGGCAAAACTTCATCTCCACTAAAAATAAAAAAATTAGCCCAGCATGGTGGCGCATGCCTGTAATCCCAGCTACTCAGGAGGCTGACGCAGGAGAATCACTTGAACACAGGAGGCAGAGACTGCAGTGAACCAAGGTCACATCACTGCACTCCAGCCTGGGCGACACAGCGAGACTCCATCTCCAAAAAAAGAAAATCACAAATGTAGGTTAGAAGTGCCCCTAAAGGTAAAGTAATCTTCCTTTTTTCTTTTTTTTAATACATGTGCAGGATGTGCAGATTTGTTACATAGGTAAACGTGTGCCATGGTGGTTTGCTGCACACATCAACCCATCACCTCATCATTAAAAAAACATTTTTTAAAGCTATTTAAACACTATAGGCCTGTATGTTCATCTGGAAAATGAGGGTTATAACAGTACCCATTTTAAAGATTTCTTATGGTGAAATAAAGAAAATCATGGGCCGGGTGCGGTGGTTCATGCCTGTAATCCTAGCACTTTGGGAGGCTGAGGGCAGATCACAGGGTCAGGAGTTCAAGACCAGCCTGGCCAACATGGAGAAACCCCGTCTCTACTAAAAATACAAAAATTAGCCACGTGTGGAGGTGGGCGCCTGTGATCCCAGCCACTCGGGAGGCTGAGGCGGGAGAACCGCTGGAACCCAGGAGGCGAAGGTTGCAGTGAGCCGAGATGGCGCCACTGCACTCCAGCCTGGGCGACAGAGCAAGACTCCATCTCAAAAGAAATAAAATAAAAAGAGGTAATATAAGTTGGCCCAGAAATATAGGAAAGAAAGGCATCCCAGAGAGAGAGCAAAGACTGCAAAGTCATGAAGAAATGATAGGGGATATTTTGTGAAATATAATGCTGAGTGTGGCAGGGGTTGATAGTGGGTATGGGAGCCAGTCATTGGAGATGGAAAGTAGATAAATGGGTTGGGCCTGCTTCTGAAAGGTTTTAAAATTCACATAGTACTATCCCATGTTTACAGATGAGAAAACTGAGGAGGGTATGAGAAGTTAAATAACTTGTCTATGGTAACTCAATTAGTAAGTGCCAGAGCCATGATTTATACTCTATCTGTACTCTGAATCCCTACATTTATATATGTGAATCTGTGCTCAAGGATGCAAACGGAAACCAGAAAACCTTATCCTTTACATGCAGAAGCTATACTGTTTCCTCTTTTTAAGACATAGCAACAGGCCAGGTGCAGTGGCTCATGCCTGTAAACCCAGCACTTTGGGAGGCTGAGGTGGTCAGATCAGTTGAGCTCAAGAGTTTGAGACCAACCTGGGCAACATGGCGAAACCCCGTCTCTACCAAGAAAATACAAAAATTAGCATGGCATGGTGGCAACCACCTGTAGTCCCAGCTACTCGGGAGGCTACTGGGCAACAGGAGTGAAACCCTGTCTCATAAGGGGAAAAAAAAAGACAAACAGATTTCTTCCCCTTTGTCTTCTCAGTTTTTGAGCAAAGTGAACATATAACGGCGCCTCTAACAAATTTGTAGACCAAATAGAAGATTCAGACACAGCAAACATGGTCCCAAGTGCATACCCTACACAGGTTCCATCCACACTGAATGTCCCTCTTTTCTACTAACCTAGGACCACCTCTTCCACTACTTTCCATGGAACTGTTTCATTGCAACGGACAGACTCCAAATTCTCCAGAGGATGTAAGAATTAAACAGTGGGAATAAAAAGAAGTGACATTAGGCTGGGCGCAGTGGCTCATGCCTGTAATCCTGGGAGGCTGAGGTGGGTGGATCATGAAGTCAGGAGTTAGAGACAAGCCTGACCAACATGGTGAAACCCTGTCTCTACTAAAAATACAAAAATTAGCCGGGCATGGTGGCGTGTGCCTGTAATCCCAGCTACTTGGGAGGCTGAGGCAGGAGAATCGCTTGAACCAAGAGGCGGAGGTTGCAGTGAGCCAAGATTGCGCCACTGCACTCCAGCCTGGGCAAGAGAGAGAGACTCCAACACCCACTCCCCGCAAAAAAAGAAGTGATATTTATTAAATGACTGAAAATGTGCATTACCTGATTTTCATACCCACAAATGAATGCACAAATACACTGCAGTCCTCTCAGTCCAATCTAGTCTGAATTTAGGCCCAGTAAGGAATAAATAAAGATCTGAACAGTGACCTTTGCAATCATAGAACATTTGATTCTTACCATTGTAGGTTGCACTATTTTTCACAATTAGCTCCAGATGCTCTCTGAACTCTTCCCGAGATGGGTAGAGGCGTTTACGCACATTTTCGCGGAGAGTTTGTAGGTCCATTGGCCGAGTGATGATTTTGTAGTAGTCCTTTACAACCTTTGCATTGACTGGAGTGTGGAAAGGGTATGTCTGCAAACAAGGGCCGGAACCATACATCAGCAAAGAACACTTGCCAGAGCCAATTCCTGAAGATTCTCACATCTTACCTATCTACCTGGCTATCAACTCTGAAAGGAATCTTTCTAGGTGGAGCAGGTCTGTTTCCTCTACTAAACTGCTTAAACAAACAAAAAAACTAAATCCCCCAAAATTAGGCATTCCAGTTACCTAAATCTACAGATTACTGCCCTCTATTGGAAATCATAGACAGAACAAAGGGCTTTGACACCCCTACTATAGATGTCCAACGCAATGAACTCACATTCGGAAGATCTCTCATGTCATTGATGATAGACTCCAAGATGGATGACAGCGTCACCATAGGATCTGTGCGGCGCCGGTGGATGGACTTATGAGGTCTCTAAGAAGAAACATAAAATCAGAATGCTTTCTCAGACCAAAAAAAATCCACATTCTGTCCAGGCACAGTAGCTCATGCCTGTAATCCCAGCACTTTGGGAGGCCGAGGTGGACGGACCACTTGAGGCCAAGTGTTCAACACCAGCCTGAATAACATGGCGAAGCCCCATCTCTACTAAAAATACAAAAATTAGCTGGGTGTGGTGGCACATGCCTGTAATCTAAACTATTCAGGAGGCTGAGGTGGGAGGATCACTTGAACCTGGGAGGCGGAGGTTGCAGTGAGCCAATATCACACCACTGCACTCCAGCCTGGGTAACAGAGCGAGACTCTATCTCAAAAAAAAAAAAAAAAGAAAAAATCCGCCAAGCACGGTGGCTCACACCTGTAATCCCAGCACTTTGGGAGGCCAAGGTGAGTAGATTGTGTATCAGCTGGGCATGGTAGCTCATGCCTATAATCTCAGCACTTTGCGAGGTGGAGGCGGGCAGATCCCCTCAGATTACCTGAGGTCAGGATTTCAAGATCAGCCTTGTCAATATGGCAAAACCCCATCTCTACCAAAAGTATGAAAATTAGGTGGTGTGTGCCTGTAATCCCAACTACTTGGGAGGCTGAGGCAGGAGAATTGCTTGAACCTGGGAGGTGGAGGTTCCAGTGAGCCGAGATCGTGCCACTGCACTCCAGCCTGGACAACAGAGTGAGATTCCGTCTCAAAAAAAAAATTCACATTCTCTAACTAGACAAACATATTTTAGAAATCTTATAATGAACAGTACACATAATTCTCAGGGCAAGGCAAATGGAGAATCTAAGGCTGTCAGAGCCATGGCATATACAGTTAGGGGAATCAATGAGAACCCACCTAATCAGAAGGAAGCAACGCACATACTCACATTCAAATAGTCACAATGAACAGTGGTTCCAACTCTCCGTTTCTTCTTTGGAGGAAGCTGCTGTTTAGGAAATTTGAGAACCAGAGATTTTCTGCGAACCTCATCCGCACTGTAATCAAAACACTTTAGTAAGATACAGCCCCTATTTCTAGTTCCCAGGGAAAAAAAACCAACTACAATAAAAAAAAGTCCAAGGTACCTAAGCATGAGCTTAGGGAGGAATAAGCCAAACCAAAGGCCAGACATCCACCTTCAGATCAGGCAAGCCCTCATAGGCTCTCCAAGTTAATAAATAACTAGGCAAGTCACAACTTTACCTCAGTTTCCTATTGGGAAGATAAGGAAACCAGGCTAAAGAATTTTAAGAATCCTTCCAGTTCCAACATTCTATCTTTTTTTTTGAGACGTAGTTTCGCTCGTCTCCCAGGCTGGAGTACAATAGCGCAATGTCAGCTCACTGCAACCTCCACCTCCCAGGCTCCAGTGATTCTCCTGTCTCAGCCTCCCAAGTAGCTGGGATTACAGGAGCCCACCACCATGCACAGCTAATTTTTGTATTTTTAGTAGAGGCAGGGTTTCGCCATGTTGATCAGGCGAGTCTCGAACTCCTGACCTCAGGTGATCCACCCACCTTGGCAAACCAAAGTGCTGGGATTACAGGTGTGAGCCATCGTGCCCAGCCCCAGCATTCTATCTTAAAAGGCTAGGAAACCTAACTCATTCAGAATGGAAACAAGAAATTTAAAACTGGTTTGAAAAAAGAAAACAAACTAGTTTGGGCTTCCCTCAATCATTAAAGCTCATTCACCTTCTTCTCTTCCACTTTAAGGGACCATGGTATCACATTTTCTTCTTCTTCATTTTTTAAATTTAAAAACTGCTTTTTCAGTAATAGAGACAGGATCTCACTATATTGCCTAGGCTGGTCTCGAACTCCTGAGCTCAAGTGATCCTCCCACCTCAGCCTCCCAAAACGCTGGGATCATAGGCATGAGCCACCACGTCTGGCCCATCTTCCTCTTCTAATGTGCTTCAAAAAACAATGACTATTACAAATATTAATAATTAAATCAACAAGGATGGAGGCTGGGTGTGGTGGCTCACGTCTGTAATTTCAGCACTTTGGAAGGCCAAGGCAGGCAGATTGCCTGAGCTCAGGAGTTCAAGACCAGCATGACCAACATGGCGAAACCCCATCTCTACTAAAAATACAAAAATTAGCCAGGCGTGATAGAACGCATCTGTAGTCCCAGCTACTTGGGAGGCTAAGGCAGGAGAATCACTTAAACCCAGGAGGCAGAGGTTGCAGTCAACTGAGATCGCACCACTTCACTCCAGCCTGGGCAACAGAGCAAGATTCCATCTCAAAAAATAAAATAAATCAACAAGGATGGGAAAAGGAACCCCAAACTAAACACAAACAGAAATAAATGACTCTAACTGTATCAAATTGATTTCTTAAATTACACACAAAAAAAGAAGTGATTCAAATATGTTTGGAATACCCTAACTATACCTCAGCGGCATGTAGTCCAAGAAAAATAAACTATGAAAAACATCTTGAATCTACTTTATGGGTTTGTTGGTGGTAGTGGTATTATTATAGTAATTCTGAAACTATTTTGTACCTATCATAGGATAGAGCAAATTTCTCAATATATTGATTTCTAAGTAAATATATAGAGAAATTAAGTTATTTCTTGAGAATGGAGACAAATATGAAATGAGGGAAGATGAGGAAAAAAAGATCTATAAACTAAATTGGAGGTATCAGTATAAAGTTGTAATTTAAAATACATGTATATCAGCTAGGCATAGTAGCTCATGCCTATAATCTCAGCACTTTGGGAGGTGGAGGCAGGCGGATCACCTCAGGTCGGGAGTTCAAGAGCAGCCTGACCAACAGGGAGAAACCCTGTCTCTACTAAAAATACAAAATTAGCAGGGCAAGGTGGCACGTGCCTGTAGTCCGTTACTCAGGAGGCTGAGGCAGGAGAACTGTTTGAACTGGGGAGGCAGAGGTTACAGTGAGCCAAGATGGTACCACACTGCAGCCTGGGAGACAGAGCAAGACTCCGTCTCAAGAAGAAAAAGGAACCTGGGCTCTTGGAGAAATGGCTGACTCCAGGTATAGGATAGGAAAATTTGAAAGAGAGCTTTTAACATCTTGTGCCAGAAGGCTGGGATTGGTGGCTCACGCCGGTAATCCCAGCACTTTGGGAGGCCCAGGCGGGCGGATCACGAGTTCAGAAGTTTGAGAACAGCCTGGCCAACAAGGTGCAAACCCATCTCTACTAAAAACACAAAAATTAGCCAGATGTGGTGGCACAAGTCTGTAATCCCAGCTACTTGGGAGGCTGAGACAGGAAAATCCCTTGAACCTGGGAGGCAGAGGTTTCAGTGAGCCGAGATTACGCCACCACACTCTAGTCTGGGCAATGGAGCAAGACTTCGTTGAGACGGAAACAAAAACATCTTGTGCCAGAAAGCAAGGAAGTTCTCAAATATTTATAGGGTCGTTTAAAAAAAAGAAAAAAAAGAAAAAAAAAAGAAAAAAAAAGAAAAAAAAAAAAACACAGGATCTGGCTTGAGGGAGTCAAATTTGGGACACTATGTTGGAAAGGGAGAGTAGAAAGCTCTTTTTTATAGAAAAATGTTAGCTAATGTTGAAGAAATGCTAGAATTAGAAAAATTACCATTTTTGAACCCCCACTGAAATAACTGAATAAAGCAATGGTCATCAACTGATGCCGAAACTATTAAAAGATTGTCAGGGAACAGGATATTCACCAACATGTTAATTACAAAGAAAAAACATACTTTATTAAAGGATCTGAGGATCACCACTTTAGCAAGATGATCAAAACAGTGGGAAAATCTGACATTACATGCTTGCTGATATGGTATAGTAAGTATATCACCCAGATATGACATTAAATGTCTTACCAACAACATTTAATTGGAATCTGATCAATGAGAGAACAGACAATTCCAGAATGTGGAATATTTTGAGACAACTGGCCTGGAATTTTCAAAAAATGCATGTCATGAAAAACATAAATGGGGCTGGGTGCAGTGTCTGATGCCTATAGTCCCAGCACTTTGGGAAGCTGAGGCAGGAGGACTGCTTGAGCCCAGGAGTTTGAGACCAGCCTGGGCAACACGGCAAAATCCTGTCTCTACAAAAAATACAAAAATTAGCCAGGTGTGGTACTGCACGCCTGTAGTCCTAACAACTGTGGATGCTGAGGTGAGAGGATGACCTAAACCTGGGAGGCAGAGGTTGCAGTGAGCTGAGATCATGTCCCTGCCCCTGCACTCCAGCCTGGGTAACAGAACCAGACCCTATCTCAAAAAAAAAAAAAAAAAGAAAAATATAAAAGGTAGGGAAAACCATTCTAGATTAAGAGAGATTCAAAATATATTTAATGTTTGAACTGGGAATGA